GCATTTGCATAGGCCAGATACGTTACGAAGCGAGTCGCATCGCGAGCGTGTCGAAACAAGAATCGATATCCAATAACTTAATTCCGTTTGAATTTTTTTGAGGCTACGAAGATTACGTTCTCATACGACGAGTTAAAGAAAATTTTTATTCATTAGACTGATCTATTACTTCATTATCAATATTAGTCTATTCAGCTGGGATGAGGAAAAAGTCGGCGCGTAAAAGTTAACGCTTTTAGAGGAATAATTTTTTTCACATTTCTCTCTCTCACTTGAATATATAAGAATTTTCGAAGTAAAATCGATTTGCGCGCGTAAAGAGAGTATGTCAGGAAGGCCTTCGGTCTTCGTAGGGGAACACGCTTACCTTATATAACATGGGAAATTGGCAGGAGGTATTTCCTAATATCGAACGCGCGTCCTCCCTGGAAAAGAATGTCGGTGTGACATCACAGAGAGAAAGAGAGAGAGGAAGAGAGAGAGAGAGAGAGAGAGGGAAAGTAGAAAAAAAGGGAAAGAAAGGGAGTGTGCTTTTACTCCCGAAAATTTCGCCGAATCAAAGGATCGGGGGATAGAAGGGAGCTCCTTGATTTCCACTCCGCACTTTTTCGATTAGGAAAGTCGTATCACCGGTGTTTATGAAGTGCGCATTTTTACGAGACTCCATTCGTGCCGACTCGACTCTTTTCTATTCGTACGATGAGATAAAGCCAATTGTATGAAAACGAAGCGGATCGAAAAGTGACACATGATTATATTTATCATAAATGTATGATATATAGCTAATATTATTTTGTTTTATACTGCTGAAATTATTTTTCGAAATAAAACATATCTCTAAAGGCTCTTAATGAATAAAAATTATTTTACTAAAATCAGATAATATTTAATGTAGAAGATAGAGATGAATGCCAAATTGTGCCGTAAATCTTCCTAATTTAAAGAATTAAATTTATGAAGCACTTTTATAAGCTTGATTTGAAATTATCTTGGTTTATTTCATTTTCCTAATATTATTTTGAACTACATAAATATGCCAAAATTATAACATCTAAAATTATATGACATGTAAACATGTTTGTCATATAGTAGCTGAAATCTAAATATAAAGACTAAGATTTATCTTTAGAAATAGTTTTCTCAATAGTAAATGAAGCTGTAAAGAGAAGTGTTCCGTTAAAATAGGAGATACTAACTTAAATATTCTCAATAACATAGTCGTATATTCTGCGATTTTTGTTAAACCATCGCGAAATATTTGCTTGTTTGGTGATAAATATTTCTCATATTTCTCATATGTACATTTATATATAAATTCCTCTGGATTCTGGAAGAATGCAGTTTACCTGTCATCGCTCTTTTCTAGTGTATGCGTAGTGTGTACTGCGAGGCAGTATAAAACAAAAATCGCGATCCATTGACATAGTACGATACGATATGTAGTAAAATATTAATATAAAAATACTAGAATGTTCGCGCGCTGGAAGAAGCGAGCATCTCGAACGAGATTAAAAAGAAGAAGAGAAAGTACGAGACGTTGGTGAAACAAGAACAGACAACAGGCTCTTTTCGAATGTATCTGTTGATTATTTGATAAACTTTGAAATAGATTGCGCAAATATGGCACAGGACAGGGATGCACGTGGATGTTATTTAAGTTGATGTAAAAGTTGCTCCCAAAAGACAACGAAGTACTTAAAGTTACCGAATAATTATTTTCAAAAGTCTTGTGTATATATACATATATATACATAATGAGTGTTTATATTAGATATTTTCAGAGAATGTGTAATATTAATCCTAAATTGCTCTCGTTTAAATAAACATAGCAAACGCGAGTATACATTTATCGGGTACGAATTAAATATCGCTTTGAAATACGTTCCACTCTGCGTTCTCTTATTGCGCGGCGTTCTCGCAATAATCGATTTAATTAAATTCTCGGTCTACAGTAGTTATCGTCGGAAGTTCGCCGATCGATCCCGTTTACCTGCGAAACTTTAAACGCACACGCGTTATGGCGCAAATATAATTCTGCGCAACGAACTGCTCTATCCGCGATAGACGCGGTGCATTAGGCACACCCCGTGCACGCGCCTCCGATAATGCATGGGGTATAAATGTAACGGAGAATTTAAGACAAATATTTGTTTGTCCCGTGACACGCAAACTGTTCGCACTAAAACTCAACCAACAACGGCAACCGGGAAATATAAAATTTTTATAAAAGTAAAAACAGTATTATAATTGAAAATGACATGTTTCTTCTGTAAGAGAAAAATAAATAAATTATAGTTAGCGTTATCTTTGCCTAGAGATGAGAATCGTTATTTTATCATGCATGTGATTGAACAAATTATATCAAATATTAATTAAATATTAGTTAAATATTTTTTTACTGATAAGAGATTAAAAGAGGGAAGTTATTTTTATTCTTTAATCTTCTTTATTTTTTAATTTTTTGTCATACTTTGCGAAAAAGCACGATTATACCAGAGAAGAGAATTGTTATTTTATCATGCATGTGATTGAAAGAGTTATATTAAGAGTTAAATATTTTTTACTGATAAGAGATTAAAAGAGAAGAGTTATTTTTATTCTTTAATATTCTTTATTTTTTGTCATATTTATGCGAAAAAGCACGATTATACCAAATTAAACACGAATTTTAAAACCGAGAAAATAGTTACATGTTATTACTACAATCTGCAAAATATGTTATATACGAGATCACGATGAATCTAACGAGGAGTAAATATAACGGAAATTTTAAGATTTAAGAACATTTGTTTATCCTGTAACGTGGTATCCTGTCACAGCGATATTCGACGTGGACTCGGGAGAGCGCGCAGGAGACAAGTTGAGGGGATGAGTTAAACTTTTAACGAGCTTTCTTCCTTCCTTCTCTCGGTCTTCTTAAAGTTTCTCATGAACGGGCGCAATCCCTACGTTTCTGTTTCATCCTGTTTCCCGTCGACGAATGCCGAACTTTCTCCTATCGTCCTGCGATGACACAAGTCTACATTTATCCGCGAGCATCCATCAATCATGCCGCGAGAGATTCTCGGCCCGAAGAGGTGTGTGATTTATCTGCACGATGAATACGCCGGTTAAAATCGCTCGGATGAGGGAAGCCGATGGCGGACGTTTGCGTTTCGTCTCTTTGTTCAGAATTAAGCGCGGTTTTTATAGCACTTTTCTCTTTTACTTTCAACACTATTAATGTGAGAACTATCACATATTAGTTTAAAAATTTATTGATTATAACAGAGATACATTTGCGCGTATTAAATAATATTTACAATAATAAAATGTCGTTTCTTAAAAATGTGTTACGTGTCTCTTTTTTAATATGTGAATAATTTTAATATGTAAAATAATATATTGAATATATAACATTATATAACAATATATAACATTATTTATTAATGCTAAGAGATTTTATCCTATATCAATTATTATTATGTTCACGCAAGATGATTTAAAATATTTTTATTTGAATTACAATCATGCTATAAATCTTTTCATTTCATGTCGTTGAGAATAGCATAGCCTAGAAAGCACTTTCATATTTATTGCGACATATATGGGACCCATGCAGCGTGTACCACGCATTATAGTCGTATGGCGAGCTTTCCCTCTCCAAGCACGCTTCCGGCACGCGGCCGAGATTCCCCGCGATATCGCGAGAACGGCAATTATTTCGTTGGAAGAATTTTCCTGAAACGTTTCCGGAATTTTCACGTAAAGTTAATGGAATTCGAAGGAGAAAGTTACGAACACGGCCTCGAACACCTGCCGTAATAAGATATTTCGTGTGCGTGCGCGCGCATATACAGTTGTTAGTGGTGGCATTCCTCTGGAAATAATAATAATTCCACGAAACTTCGCTTTTCTTCCACAGCATGCGACTGAATAATGTTATTAAATGCACCGAGTTCCCGTGCTTGTGTACAAAACCGAGCTATAAAGGCCACGATAAATGGAGGCTTTTTTGAAGAAATGTTAAATTACATTTCCCTATTTTTTCGGATATATTTTTGACGGAATACTTGATAAAATTAATTACAGTGTATTACAGTATATTCATTGAAGTAAAACATTTGAGAGAAAAAGAAAGAGGGAGCGTCGATGCATTGAGTCGAAGCACCTTCGTCGTCCACCTTTCGACCTTGCGACACGCGGCGACGTTCACACCGCGAACGCGCGCTTCTTCTCACCGCACTCCCCCACACACGAGACTACCGTCGGAGTCGGCAGATGCGGTGGAGGGTAGGGAGGGGAGGGGAGACGGGATGGGAGAGAGAGAAAGAGAGAGAGAGAGAGAGAGAGAGAGAGGGAAAGAGAAAGAGAGAGAGAGAGAGAGAGAGAGAGAGAGAGAGAGAGAGAGAGAAAAAGAGAGAGAGAGAGAGAGAGAGAGAATCGCATTTATTTCATAATAGAAACAATTGTAATTGTAATTGATAATCTATTTTATAAATGTTTAAAAAGAAAAAGCCTACTAATTAAGAAAACAAAAGAATGGAGAAAATTTCGGATTATATTTAATCGACTCTGTAAAATGTCCAAAAAAATGTCAAAAAGAAGTGCAAAAGCTAATGATAAAAATTTTAAAGCTCTAAAGTGCAAGAGATAAAACTGTACAACATACAGCGTCAAAAAAGTAAGAGACTAATAAGAATGGGATAAAACCACCGAGTTGAGACGGTACAGATGCTCGCGGTCACGACCCACTCTCTCGTCTCTTCCTCCCCTCAACGTCGTGTATCCGACATTCGGCGACTTCCCATGCCAGCAACACGTGATATCCCGGAGCTCTCCCGTCGCATCAAAAACCCGCATGCGTGCGATGCATAAGGACGAGCGACGGGACGAGCGACGCGCCGCGATTTCTCGACGAGAATGGGGTGCGCGGGCCGATCGGCCGATCATGCGCGAGCTTTTCGAACTTCCGACCGGCCCGGTAGATCGGCGGCCCGTGTGAGAGAGCAGTCAGTGCAGTCAGCGCAGTCAATGCAGCCGGCGATTCTGCGGACCCTCTCACAGAGCCCGAAAGCGTTGATTCCGTTAGCGGGAAAGTATCGCCGCGAGGGGTTCGTTTCGAAAAGGCACTTTGCCGTTCCAGGAGTGGCTAGAAGGGTCGGTGGCGGGGATATTATAGCGAGAGAGAAACCGAGAGATTGAGAAGAGAAGAGAGGTAGCTGGGGGGGTTGAGATAAGCAGGCTAGAGAGAGTGAGCAGAAAGGAGAGAGACAGAGAGGAAGAGAGAAAGAGAGATAGAGAGAGGGGGGTCAGGTAGATAAAGAGGGTTGCTGGAGTGAGGGAGAGGACGGTCCGGAGGGATGGAGACCGTGAGAGCGTGAGAGGGTAGCGATTGTGCTACAGTCGCACCGCGACACCCCCACGAGCGAAACCGCGCGCGGCAGCCCGCACTCTCGTGTATAGAGCTGTGTACGTGTATATTGCGAAAACGGGTCCGCGAACAGTGCTATGCTTTTGAGGCCGCGATCTGTAAGGTGTCCTTCGTCCTCGTCGTCGTTGGCCTTATTCTCATTATTTTCCTTCAAGTGGGCGCACCAGTTTGCGAGTACCGTCCAGCGCACCGTAGCGCAGCGCTTCTAATGGGGTGAGTCTTTTTCTTGTATAAGTGGCCTTACGCAGGTAGTATACATTTTCTTTTTTGACTTTATAGACAGTTAGCGGCAATATATTAAAGACGTGACATATGTTTAATGTCAAGAATATTTTAATCTTGAAATGATAAACGGTTAAAGGTCCGTTTTTGATAAAAGTATAAATGGATAGTATAAAAAAAATTATTAGTTATAAGGTTAATTTATTTAAATGAGAATCTTTTGTGCGATGCGCGATTATCAAGATATTACGTATCGAAAGTTAAAAGCTTGGAAATAAAACGGCGTTCGATCAAATATTTGCTGAGGAAAAATCGGCTTCGCATCCCCTAAATCTGTGCTCAAAAAGCAGCGCACATCCCTTACAATATCTTACTTGGATTTCGGCAGGATATATTTTAGAGTTTAGGATCAAGGCTCGTAAGCAAATTTTTCAGAAAAATTCTTTTAGAAATGTAGTAATATAATTTTATCGCAGCTCATCATTATACTTTTATGTAAATTTGTATAATAATCGAGATATTAAGCCAAACATAATTAAATATTGTGCTTACAATATAAAACAAATTGCTTTGTCCCATATTCAACGCAGATGCTGATATATATATGTATATTTAATGTATTTTGAAATAACGTTTGAAAACAAGACGGTGACAGTTACCTATTATTTTTTATAGCAAAAAACTAGATATAAAAATCTGGTTGTAAAAATTTTGTTAATACATACACTTCATTATGCATTTGCCATCAAGGTACATTTTATTTGACAAAATTTTTATCTTTGATTTCATGATTTATTTGATTCAAATGAAAGCATTTAATATATATCTAATATTCTGGATATCTATTAAATGGATGGTGTTTTTAAATATTATTGTTATCCATTGGTCTAGAAATACACTGAAGATAAATTTCAATCAACGGAATTAAATTTTCTTTGCCAATTTCATATATATGTATGTACGTGTATATTGGATTCACAAAAAATTTAATTTAATTTATTAGAATCATCTAAATTTACGGATAGAAATAAAATTTTGAAATAATATGTACCACATATATTTTTTACACTTTTTTTCTTAATATTAGAAATTGATCTTAACAATTTATATTTTTTTTTCTTCAAATGCCACAATCAGAAAATTAGGATATTGAATGTA